TTTATTTTCAATTAAGCGAAACAGAGTATTTACGAAACTGTTCGAAATTATTCAGGTTAGCATATGTCTAGCAATATATACGTTAAGATTCGTAGTAACAATAATCAATTAACCAAAATGACATCAAAAAAGCACAAACAAACCACAAAATTCACAAATTCAGGACCAGACAACACTCAAAAAACAAAAACCAAAAAAAAAAAAAATGTTTTCATTATGTAAAACCCTATTCATTTGTTTATTTTCAATTATGCGAAACAGAGTATTTTCAAATCTGTTCGATAATTATTATAAGTTTATGATATGAACCTTAATAAAGTTCATTAAGAATTCCTATTATGGAGGGGATTGCAGAGTTCTTAAATCGTTTAGTTTTGGGAATGAGTCCTTGGAGTTTTCTTACTCTTCTGAGTGAAACGTTTGAGTCAATACGTCTGGGAGGTAGCATATGCGAGTAGCGTTCAGAATTGTATAGCGATTTTGCAAATGAAGTCAAAAGAGTTCTCCTTCTTTCAACTAAAGTGGGGATTTGGTATAGATCTAGAACTTGATCATAACAAACATGACGCTAAGGATAAAATAACACAAAAGATATTTCGCTTAAAGTGCTTATTATTATTATTATCATTATTATAAGATTTACATAGTACACATATCCAATTATAGAAGGACTGCTCAAGACACTTTTTTCCCCTGGTTATTGGAGACAGAATCAATCGTACACAATGTGCAACCCCCTCCACTACCTAGGCAGTATTCCTAGTGAAGTGTGTAATTAGCACTACTAATTTCATTCCGATCGTTCAACTCGAACTAGGTAAAAAGTGTCTTGCCCAAGGACACAATCAGTGTGACGAGCATCGGTTTCGAACCCCCAACCTACTGACTAAAAGCCGAGCGCCTTACACGCTGCGCCACGCAGTTGATGTTTACATAATTTAGCTGGTAAAGTATTTTTGGAATGCTAATAGTCCGTTTGTATATAGCCAATATTTATTTTGGTTTCTTTACCTTTTTAGTCTTGTTTGATGTTTGAAGATGAAATAAAAGTGCAAAAAAAAAAAACCATCTATATGATTTTAATTTCAATACACATATATACTGAATAACATATTTTGCATTCAGAATAAATGTCCCAACAAAAAAAAAAATAGAGAAACAACAAAAATATATTTAATATTCTACAACACAACAATAGCATCTCGTTTTTGGAAATTATGGTGATTAAAATGAAAATATACTTGTGGAGTTTTCTTACATCTCTTAGTGTGATGATGTTCGGATGGTGTCCGTAACGCAGTAAAATTTCTATCTCTTCTTGGATGTCCCGCTTGCATTTTTCTACAATCTTGACTGCATACTCTTGACCTGTTGCTTTGTGGACACACCTTCTACAAACGGAATAGGAGCCCAAACCAATCTCCTAAAATAAAAATAAACCATCATTACAGAGAATGGAGACAGATTTGTAGGCCAAAGGTTGTATGACCTTCGTACAACGCACTGTGTGACTGGCTTAACAGACCAACATAAACCACTTTGATCATCAGTGAAATAAAATAAGAAGTTACCTGTTTAAGGTCATATTCCTCTTGTATTGACGTTACTCGTGCATGTAATAACCCGGCTTTCTGTGAAGATAACAAAAAGTGTTACAATATGTTCATCCATGGCAGACTCATTTTTATTCTACAGTATTTTATAAAATTTATGTAGCACAGAAGAACTACTCAAGGTGATTTTTTTCCCTGGTCACCGGAATTCAGAATCAACAATACACAACAAGCAATTTCCTCTGGTCAACCTCACGATTGTCCAGTGCTTCTTAGCCACTGCGGCATATGGCTTTCGCATTCTGAGGGGTACATGCTTCATGCAATTGCCAATTTTAATAGTTTTGGTGTAAAAATATAAACTCTTGTGCCCCATTTTATAGATTTAAAAAAAATGGTTTTATAGTTTTTACTTTATATTTAAGGATTATAGTTCTTCGATCAACTTGGGAGGACTGAACAAGGTTTATTATTGCTTTCCAACATTTTTCCCATATTTTTCCTCTTTAATTTCTTACTTGTTCTATATTATTTCTTGTTGCTGAAGTTATTTTTCCACCTTCCATTGACTCGATAAGATCCGGGGCGACGAAACTGAAGCCTCTGAACAGTTGGTGAGCGCTGGCACTAGGCGGGACTCCAGGTGAATCTGGCGAGGTCAATATACAAACATAATAGACTTAGAGGCCAAGAATGTTAGCACTGTGGCACTGGTTTTGGACTCCCAATTAAAAGATTGTGGGTTTCTGTGTCCTGGGCAATGTACTTAATCCACATCTTCATTCTCCACCCAGGATATTAAGTAATACAACTTCATAAACAAAATAATAGCCGCCACATATAAGAGCTCAGTAATTACGACCTTCCACAAGTACAGTCTGAAGTGTACTGTCCAGCTACCTAATTTTCAAACATGCACCAAGTTTCATAAAGTGCATATAAGCCAACTGTAGACACTGTCTTTCAAGTCTTTACCTAAGAAAAAATTTTACTAACCAAAGCATACGAGCAGTGTCTTATAACAGCGTGAATATTAATATAATTTTGGGGCAAACCGATCTTACCAGTCGGCAACTCAACAAGCAGATAAGGCAAAACAAGTTTTGACCTAATCAAAAGGAAATACTATTGTAATTGAAAAGACATCTTAATGAAATTGTTGAAGGGGATGTTATCTTACCCTTCGGTGTTCTGGAGGTAAACTCTTGGTCAAAATAGAATGCGTCGTCTGCTCTTGTTACTGCTGGTTTGAATGGTGGTGCTTGTTCCCTTTTCAAAAGTTTCTAAGTGAAGCAAAATATTTTGTTGTTGTGAACGCATTATATGTAACATGAAAAAAAAAGCTCATGCATATAAAAACTAAAGTATATCACAGCTGATTGGTGGAAAACTACAGGTTTCCTTCTGATTAAGACCCCTCCAATTAAAGACCACTTTTCTATGGTCCCAAATTAACATGTCTATTATTCTAATTAGAGAGAAAAGCTGCTAAAGATCAAAGAAACCCCAGTCCAGAATTAGTCTTTAATTTGAGGGAGACCTGTACTATTAAATTTTCTTTATTGTCATTTACAAACCTACATAATGCCAAAAAACATCTATGTTTCTCACCCACACCCACAAAACTGACCCAAAATCCTAAATTCCAGTCTGCGATATTGTTTGCAAAAATATTTTTTTTTTTTTTTTTGCAAGGAGCTGCCTAAAATACTAGTGTAGTGTTTCAAAAGGCCACTTTTCAGGCTTTAATTTTTTATAATTAGTTACCAAAAACTTTTTTTTAGTTACCATTTTAGCAACCAAAATGCATGGCGTGAATGACAGTTAGCATTGAAACTTAAAATCAAGCATGGTAACATTTTTTTGTAATTGCCAACTGACTGAACCTAATTTTAAATCTTTATTAGCCAAATTCAGTTAATAAATAAAATACTGAAAGGAAGATTACATTTAATGTAATATATATCTGTTCATATTTATACTTACTGGCCAGTTTATGCTAGCAAAGAATTGATGATTTTTTATATCTTCAACGCCCTGTGTACCTGCCCCTAACCGGTTGGCTGGATTTCTTTTAAATAGCTGCCTCAATAAACTTTGTGCTTCTGGACTTAAAAATTGTGGCATTCCTAGCTTTGCTCTAAAAAATAATAAAATTGCTCATATAAATAATAAAAAGAAAAACAAGATATAATATATTAACAAATAACATTGTTAATAATACATTTTACTTTTTTTTTTTATACTAGTTTATAAACACAGCGGGATTTTGTTACTTTTAAGATTAGTTGCATCGACATCTAACAAATCTTTTGATCGCATAGTGTTGGTTGAGTAAAAGTGCTGATACACATATTAATTCGTATGTGGATTATTTTTTGGTTTACTCTTTCATTTTGAATGGTTTGAAGAGAAAACCATTATGGAATTTGTCTTGTCCTTGTCTTCTTCTTTGTTTATAGTGTATGAAGATGTTTTATGTTCATGTTTCTGATGAAAAAATAAGATCCTTCTACATACAGAGGGTATGTATGAACAATAGCTCTTGGCATTGAAATTTCAAAATTTTGCCAACAAATTTTTGCTTATTAATAACCACAACATTGTGATAAAAAATTTAGTATAATTTTGAATTAAATTAATGTTTGTGCAGTTTTAAATGTTTTAATGCATATTTATTACAATAATTTATCAAAATGACGAATTTGAATTTTATTCTAAGTATTCTCTGAGTGAACAAATGCACATTTGATTATAACTTTTATAGAAAAATCATAGTAACATTATACTATAATCATAAGTATAAAATATGTCATATTTTATATACATTAATAACTGTTCATTAACTTATAATGCCAGTGAAAGCTTACTTGAGAATCATAGCCATTGTTTCTTTCCTATGTTGTCCCTGAAAAGGTAGTGCTCCTGTTAACATCTCAAACTAAAAATAAAAAGAAAGTGAAAGACATAGTGGCTTGCATGACAACAGATTGGTAACAAGAGGCTTTATAAATGCATTGTTCAACCAACAAGGAAGTCTAGGAAAGATTGCTAGTCTGGCTCCAGGGGTGAAATCTTTCAATGTTTTGGAGTTTATGATGATTATGCTAAATGAACACAATACATTAGGGAATCACATCAAAGTTCAGCTATTGGTGTTTAACACCAAAAAGGGTAATCATTGTTTGACTGGGGATAACTGATAATCCCCCATTTGTGCCTTCACTGCAAATATACAGGTTATATATATTTGCTATTCCATCAAATATACAGGTTATATATATTTGCTATTCCATCAAATATACAGGTTATATATTAATACTTTTCCATCATATATTGTCTATTCCATCCCAATAACAATTACTATCAACACTGCAGTACCCGCTGCTTACTTGGACTCGGAATTCAACAACCCTGTCCATCAGGCACAAGTTAGGTGGTCTAGAGGTATGATGCCAGGCTAGTGATCTGGAGATCGTGGGTTCGAGTCCCACTGAGTATTCAGTACATTTCCATGTCAGGTAGGGCAAAATTACACCTATACATGTTTCTCTTGGCGCAAATCCAGTTATTGTCTATTCCATCATGACAATAACAATTACTATCAACACTGCAGTACCCGCTGGTTCGAGTCCCACCCGAGAACAACTTGCGATTTTTTTCGCAATTGTTTTCAAACGTACTGAGTATTCAGTACATTTCTGCGTCAGGTAGGGAAAAATTACACCTATATTATTATAATTACATTTTCCCAAACACACATATACATGTGTCATATGCATTTACAAGTATCAAGACAACAGACGATTGGAATGTAAATTTTAATCACTTAAGGAAATTGAATTCAACATTGGTATGAATAATTTATTACATGGATTACTCATGGTCATGAATGCTAGATGCCTGGCTGATAGCATTCATCCGTTAATGATGTGCTATTTATAAAGTGCATATTGCAATAAACAGCCTCCATGTACTTTACATTATTACCCCCGGTCACCGGATTAAACACATCATCGGCTCCCTGGGGAGCACCATTCCACAAGAAGCTGAAATCGGCCATTGGTATTGGATGCTACAAAGTATCCACTTATTGATATATGGTGTTTATTGCAATAATCTGCCTCTAATGTACTTTACATTATTATCCCCGGTCATTGGATTAAACCCATCCTTACCTTCCTTAGGGGGGAGCACCATTCCTCAAGAAGCTGAAATCAGCCACTGGTATTGAATTCTACAATGTATCCACTTATTGATATATAGTGTTTATTGCAATAATCTGCCTCTAATGTACTTTACATTATTACCCTGGTCATTGGATTAAACACATCCTTACCTCCCTTAGGGGGAGGGGGGGGGGCGCATTCCTCAAGAAGTTGAAATCAGCCATTGGTATTCGATTCAACAAAGTACCTACAATGATGATAAAGCATCTTGCCCAAGAACAAAAACACAGCAAGACTTGACCCCATAGGTGTTTAAGTTTGGAATTCCAACCACTTCGCACATTTCACGAAAACTTTGAAGCGGTTAATGAGATACAAATTTTTGAACGTTTAAAATCTGGGGGGGGGGGGGGGGAAGGGACAAAACCACCTCTTTTTCAACCTTCAATGTTTTTCATCACATATGCATTTGTACAACATATCAAAAGATTTTTTTCCTCCAAAGCATGAATTTAAATAATAAATTCAGAAGCAGTAGACACATTTCCTTATTAATATTTAAGTTTAAGACTTAATTTAAAGTGCATAGAGGGATCTGTGATCCATTAGGCGCTATATAAATATGGTGGTATTATTATTATTATTATGAGCTATTATTATTCAAACCTACCATAAGTACACCATACGACCACCAATCAGCAGCGGTTGTGTGCCCCCTCCTGTTTACAACCTCCGGTGCCATATACTCTACAGTCCCGCAGAACGAATATGCTTTGCTGTCATCCACAGACTCCTTGCTCAATCCAAAATCTGTCAGTTTAACATGACCCTCTTTATCTAGTAAAATACTAAAAAAAAACCAGAAAAAAAGAAAATATAATACAATTATATAATATTAAGTAGGACAGGCATATTCCAAAAAGAAGTTAAGTGGTGATGGAAACAAGATAGGCAGGATAATCAGGGGTATAGGCTGGTTTTGGCCTGGGGGATGCAACAATTTAGAATACGGACTAAATCCCTATTGCAATGAAAAATTAACGGTCATTTATAGTATTTTAACCCACTCCAATGGAAATGATTTGCCACCATGGGGGTGTTGTGCGTATGCACCCCGGTCTAAGCCAATGATAAAGCTACAGATGCGGTAGTTGGAAATAAACAATAAAGACATGTAAGTCAAAAACAAACTTCAGACTCAAAAAACAGGCCAAAAAATATACTACTAATAAAGCTCATAATGTAGGTTAAATAAATAAATAGGGAGTTTTCGCTGCACGACTTTAACCTTAACGTTAACAGCTGACGTCATAATTTATTCATCTTGCGTTGTGGAGTACGTTAATTTCAGGATTTTACGTGCTCGACGGACATTAGTTATGGGTTTGCGCTTGCGTATTTCGATTTGTTTACAAAAGGGGTGGTGTTATCGCTTTGCAAGTTGCATAATAGGGCGACGTTAATGCCAAACAATAAAGTCTTTTTTCAGGTATAGTTTACAATCAAAAGTGAATAACTGAATTTGATTACATTACAGTAAAAAATACAAGTAAATATATATAGTTCATTTTAAACTTAAAAATTATTATATATAAATGTATATATATATATTATACACTTATTTTATCCATTATCCATTGTTACAATATTATACAATTTACGAAATCAGTGCAACATACAATTCAACTATAATTCAAAATAGACATACATTAAAATTACAAATTGTTTATATTTGATTAGAAAGAGAGAGCAGTATAAACACAGTACATAAAATACAAAAAAAAAAAGTTAAAAAAAAAAAAATAGATATATACAATTAAAATTAGACATTAAAAATAATTGTTATCATTGTTATTCAAAAAATAGCTCACAATACATAAAATCATGACTTCATTACTACGCATCAAACCTTATGATAAATTGTTACTAACATGGATATAGTTTGGTGTAGATCATTCCAGATAAGAGATTTCCTTCGCACTACTGAATGAATCTTTCAAGTTTCATCCCTAGTGCCTATTTACTTCTCTGGCTTAAGACCTCAGTGGATAATTCATAATACAAGAGATTTGCTTACATTTTTTCACACAGATTTAGATTCATTTATTCAACATAAAGCAATACAAAATTATTTTCTGGGTACAGGCCAGTTACAATGTTAAACATATACATATTAAAATATATTAAAGGAAAACGTTAAAAGCACTTGATATTTATCTACCATACAGTATATATGTGTGCATGACGACTCGTGATTTTAAGATTCTTGGACGAATTTTGTATGTCAAGTGTATAAAACGACCCCCCTGTTTTATCGTCGGAATTCCTACTTTTTCTGCTTTCTATGGTCTTGATATTACATCTAGCAGGCTAAAAACGGAGCTAAATGCAAGGCTAATCTTCCAAAATAATTCCATTTTATGAGTTTTTAAATGTTCATCAAAACCTCATTTCCCTGTATTTAAAACTGCATTCACTTAGTATTTAGTAGCTTCATTGCAATAGTAATTTGGCATGTTACGGACAATCTGCATGTAAGATGAACATGATTTTAAGAATCTAAAATTTGTATGTCATGTATTTTTATTTGTACAAGATGACCCCCTATTTTTTTTTATCGTAATTTGCTGTTTTAAGCCTCGCTTTATATGCAGTATATACGGTATTTACTTCATGAATCTTATATGATTTCAGTTGGAAACCTTTCACCTCTAAAGCTGCATTCAAACCCGATCTGAAACAAAATTTGGATTGCATTTCCTAAACGTGGAATGCCAGCGTCCCTACACACTGATTTGACTTTCTGATAGCTTCGGTAGGCTTTCCGATTCAAGAATTCAGATACGGTGAGAATGCACTTAACTCTGGTCACATGCCTGTGTCCTTAGCCAAGGCACTTTGTCCTGCTAATTATGATTGGCTTGTTTCACTTTCTTTGGCGTTTGTTTCATTCTATCTTTTCCATGTTAACATTCTCTACCAAGAATACATAAAGTGGGTACCTGTGTTTTCGACTATCAACTGCATCATATTGGGACACTACCCATAAAGCTAAGCATGGGTTCTATATTAGGCATTTCTTTAAATTTCCGGAAAAATAATGTGAAGAAAAAGGGGCATTGGCAATATTGATAATGGTTGTGCCGGTCAAGCACAATTGCTAATTAAAATCAGGGTAGGTCAGCCATAGTCCTAATTCTAGTCCATGGACAACCATCACTCACCCAACACATTCCCAATGCATTCTGGCTGGTAACTGCTGGGTTAAAATCCATTGATATCCCAAATTAATTCAAGCATGAAATTGCCCTTTTCAAACATCACATAAGACTTCTGGGGTATGTTTGGGACAAAATATGTACCAAGAAATTAGGTTGACCTAGATTTTCTAATTTTGGGGCATTGGGATTTGGACTACACAATGTTTTTTTTTCTACAAGACTAGCATTAATATAACTTACTTTTCTGGCTTTAGATCTCTGTAAATAATCCCCAAACTGTGAAGATGATCCAACGCTAATGCCAACTCAGCAAGATAGAATTTAACATCTTCTTCAGTAAACATAACCTATAAAATAAAGTAAGTTTAAAAAATAAATGAGAAAAATAATATAACAGAACAGCAGTAAAAAATAAAATTAATATTACTAGATCACAACATAGGAAATGACTTTCCATAAATTTTCTTCCTTTTCTTAATTCTATCCAATCCAATGTTTTAAGCCGGATGCTGACTGCACCTGACGGTCGTCGGCCCGACGCAGACCTATTAAGGTCGCAATGCGCGGATCGTTTTTAATGATGATCATGTTGTCTAGGGCTCAAAGGGAGCGAAGTTGGGTTCATCGTGCGATGGTTATACAATGCATAGGGTGCCAGGCTTTACACCCATGTGACATGTTAAGAAGCTAAATTTAAAAATTGCCATCTCTAAGTTAATAATTTACATTGCAAACAAAAGTGAATATTCATACCTCTTTTGATAACCTTGTAAAGAGGTCACCACCTCGAAGGAAATCAAGAATTAAATACAACTTTCCCTCGGTTTGGAATGCTGAAATATGAATATTGTTTGGTAAAATACAAACATTTTAATATAAATTAAAACTTTACTTTTTAAATTCATCATTTTCATCATTATCATCATCATAAACACCATCATCTGCATTCCAACATCATCATCTGCATTTTAACATCATCATCTGTCATCATCAAACATATAGTTGCTTATATAACAATACAGGTCTCCTTTCAATTAAACAACTTTAGAGACCAAGGTTTTCAATTGGTATGAAATTTTTGAAGCAAACTTTTGCAATTCAGCAGAAAATGAGCATTTCAAAATTTTGATTGAATTTCTTTTTTTGGGTGACAGTATATTTTTAAAACTTACCATAGTGTAGTTTTACAATAAAGGGATGATTTACTTCAACTAGTATATTTCTTTCCATCTTTGTTCTTACTCTGTCTCTCACTAAAAGAATAAAAAACCAGAGCCTTGCAGGTGTCAATGTTCCTATGCATGATACATGGCTTAAAAAGTATATAGGCCCTGTAAAATATATATATAATATTCAGTTACGTAAGTCTTTGATTTTATTTATATTTTTCTATGCCTATCGTATTATATTTGTTGTACATCGATTGATGTAATTTGTGGGTATAGGGTAATTTGTTGGAGAGACAATAGTTTATTGACTGGATGAACCATGTCTGATTATCGTGCTTAATATAGTTGATAATTTATTGGAGAGACAATGGTTTGTTGACTGGATGAACTATGTCTGATTATCGATTGTAGGTAAAAATAGGCCTTTTTCACGCTGCGGTAGACATCTTCGTTCGATGACAATCAGTGCTGAGCAGTAAAGCATCTGTCTCTTATACACATCTAGGGCCTAGGCCTAGCTAGGTATACAGTAATTTCATTTTACAGTAGTTTGGAACGATATCAGGAGTGGGGGTGCTGGCAGTGGCCTACTAGGACTACAATTTATTTGAAGCTATCTTGGGTCCGATCATCCACACCAGTTGGGCCCAATCGTCTGTCACCCGAAGTTTTCATTACGATTATCAAGAACGTACACGATCTAGGCCATGGGCTAGGCTTAGCTTGCTGTCGTCACTCTGCTACGTATACTACTAGAGCATAACAAAGAAAGCGACCAACGTGGTGCATTCTTAAATATTACACACATTATTTAATTGTATTAGACGACAACACGATAACACGATATCATTGATTGAACGATCTAACTACCCTCGCATCGCAGTAACTGAACTAGGCCTAGCTTAGGCCTCATGTTTTTGTGGAAAACAATGCATTACATACATAGGAACTAAAAAGCATAGTAACATTAAAACTGAGCATAAAGCAGTAGAAAAGCACTGTATGATAGTCAAAAGTAGGTGTGACGCTCAGTGTTAAATAAAAAATTTAATTTGGCCCTCCAACCTACTTTTATGCCCACCCTGTGCTAGGTATGTACAGAAGTCAGTTAGTACTGTTAGACAGCAATGAAATTGACCTTTACTTGACAATATCATTCATTTTAACAATTCATATCTCTCGAGTCTGCTAAATTATTCATAGAGTGAGAGCTTACTAGTCTTAAAGACTCTACTTCAAAATTGACACCTACGAACAACATAATCTGAATATACTATTAAATTATAATGCTAATATAAAATCAATCTGACTTTATCACTTCAAGACCTCAGATGAGAGACCTCTCATTCTTCATCAAAATTTAATAATAATAATAATAATTAATATTTCTGATTTCTAATCCAGAATTTCATGTATTTGAAACACCTGGGACTCACATAAAGAACACGCAATAATCAAAATACCGTATTATTCAAATAAATGCCCAGTGGCGTTTATTGTTGAGAAGGGATTTTAAAGGTCGTTTATTCGAGGAAGGAGTTTTTTTGAGGGAAGTGTTATATTTTTTGTTGTTGTGTAAAATGGATACGTATATATGTACTCAATTAAACGCCCTTTAATTTCACTGTAAATGTGGAACTACAACACATAATTACTGTCAATATGTGTTACTGCACGATAATGAAGACTTATTGATCCCGACCAGTTTAGAAAAATGTACATCTACTGGAGTAGAACACTAATAGAATGTATTGAGAATAAATGATGTTGCTTCAATTAGATTTACTTGCAGTCATTTAGGGGGCATTCTGTTCGAGGAAAAAATAAACACCTCTGTGCACGAGAGGTGTTTATTCCAAATGAGGCTTTAAAGGGGGCGTTTATTCGAAGGGGGGGGGAAATTTATGACAACAGTATGTTTTTTAAAACTTATTATGGTCTTGTTTATAAAGAATAAATGAAATATTGTTTATAAATTTATTTAATGACAATAACAACAAATTAAACATAAAACATGTTCGGAAAAGTCCACAAAACGGAAATTTAATCAACCAAAATTTTATACCGAATACAGTAAAATTGTTAAAATGGGTGTGAATTAGAGTCAATCAATACAAAAACAAATATAAATTATATAATTTTAATAAATATAAAAAATATATTTGTACTTACCTTTGAGAGTAGCTTTCTTAAGAACTTTCATAGCATATAATGTTCCCGCATCATCTCCAGCATTTTTTCGCACCAGAAATACCTGCAAGGAAAATGTTAATCCACTAAAGGTATACGCCCAATAGTCAACCACAAAGATACAATTTCAGAGGCTTTAATAATATCAATATCTCCACTTAATAAACCTATCTTTATCAATAATTTAAATTTTACTTCAATTAATATCTAGACATCTAAGTTCATATTGTGGTTAGTAGTCGCTAGTCCCGATATTTGGTATAATCACTAGCTTATAATTAATTCATATATTTTTATGGAAATTTGATGTATATACTTTATCTTCATCAATGTTAATGTGGTTTGCTTAAGTTGTATACTTTTTCCTTCCGAACTTTGTAATTTCTTTTTATTTATTAGCGATAATAAATCTTATCTGTATCTTATGTACTACTAGAGTGGAGAAATTCTGGCCAAAAATTCCCATAGTAGGTACATTGGAAAATTTTAATTTTAATTTTTTATTTAGCTCACTAGAATCAAACAAAATATATAAATGGAAAATTGTCTTCCGGTACATTACAACAAATATATTACTAATTATTAAAACATAAATATTAATAAAAGTAAATTTTTTTTATTTCCAAATTTTTTTATTTAGTTAACTTCAAGTCAAATAAAGTATACTGTATACGTAGAAAATTAGCTTCAGGAACATTACAGTATACAACAAATGTATAATACTAATACTATTAGCAATCAATTTTATGCATTAAATTGATAACATTTTTAAGCATGATGTAAATAAACACATTAAAAACACAGAAGCAAATTCCAATACTCAATATATTACATTTTGAAAATAACAAAACATGAATATTTATATTTAAATTCTTTATTTAGCTAACATACTAGAGTCAAGTAAAATATAAATGGAAAATTGACTTCATGAGCACTACAATAAATATATTACTTTATATTATAAAAAGCAATAAATTTTAAGCATTACAGAGAAATATTACATACAGTATGCATGATGTAAATCCAAACGCACTTATAAAAGGACCATATATTATTATATTACGATATTAAAAACAGCGCAGATATGTCGTAAGGATTGTCCGGAGATTTGAGATGCACCCCCTTAATATATTATTTCCAATGCATAACAATGTACACTTAAACGTGTGCCATATATTGTTAGCAAACTGCATATTGATCTAGGAGGCTATGCTAGAAGTATGTGCTTATTGTTAGCGCAGAAGACAAGCCAAATAAAAATATACGATAGACGTTTCTTTATGAACTTAAAATTTGTCCTATAAATATTTACTTCAACTTTCTTTTTTTTAATTAATATTATAACTAATATATTACCCTTTGATTTTGTAATTTGATACCAATTACATTAAGGTACACAAATTATTAATTTAATTTTAAATTAATTTATCTTTTCATTTAATATCTGCTAACTAAATGCATTGTTTCATATAGATAATACTAAAGCCTATGTGCTTTTAGTTGTCATTATATAGATGGGGACGGTAGAGTGGGGGGTTGCAAACAAAAATAAGTTTCTTGTAAAAGAATACTACTAGACTGTGGCCTAATGGAATTTGAATTCATGGCCATTCTATTTCTAGCCCATGCTTTTAAGCTCTGTCTACACTATCAAATTTCCTTTGACAAAAAAAACTGTTGTATGCCCATATATAGTCATGATGTGCCTATATATGGTCATGATATGATGTCATCATGACCATATTTAGGCATGTCATATGTTTTTGTTATATAAAATTTGATAGTCTGGATCCACACTATTAAGATTTATGTGGTTGCAATTTGTTGATTAGATAATGTTTACTATTGCTTTATGTACTTAATATTTTATTTGATTGTAATAAGTTATGGAAGATAAAATAAAAAAAAAGTTTTATGTAACAAATATATTTGAATTGCCCATATATGGGCCAACCATGCATATTTGTCACATACAATTTAATAGTATAAAAAGCCTCACTTCCAAAAAGCCATATGCTTCCACTTTCTATAAATAAAATGACTTGGAGTGGGCCTAGGTAAACAAATCGATTGAAAGGCAAGTAAACGGTTATTGACTGGTTGTACGAAACAGATTGCAAATGCACGACAGAGTTGGCATTAGATGACTTCGAGTGGTTGTTGAGATAAGTAACACCATCGAATATTCTGTCACTATTCACCCGGAAATTAAACACTTGAATCAAAATAAGCATTGTCATTCACCTTTACACCTTTGATGTCTTTGATACAATGTCATTAAACATGAATGTAAGCAACAATGTTGGAATGTTTTAATGATGTTCCATATACCTTTCCAAATTATATATTATTATTATACACCCCAATGTGTAGTGTCACATAAAAAGCAGTAGAAATAAAAAGCAGCAAAAAAGGTAAAGAAAACAAAAATTGGTGACAACAATAAGGAGCTTTCTATTGTACGATGGTAGGACGTAGAAAATAATGACGTCACTAAGTCATCTGCGCATGCAAGAGCGTTAAGGTCACCTCGTCGAGCAGATTGTGGAACACAATTTGGCCAAATCTACGTATGCAGGCATAAGTGATTCCGTTCTAGCATCGCGTGGTCAAAAGCTCCCTAGTAACACTTAGGATGATGACACCTTGGACAATGCACTGCAGTAATGATAAGCGTGATGATTCTATTGATGATAATAACAATGACAGCAATTGAAATACTGAAGATTATACAAATATGACAGTAACAATGGTTCACATATATGGGTGTAGTGTAGCCTGATAAGGGGTGCAGGGACATGCCTCTATGGCAGCAAATTAGTCCCACCAAGTGGGATAAGGATTTAGTTCAGCATTCTGGGATTTATTTTATCGCATTCTCATTTTTCGCACCGCCCCTCCCTCCTTCTCGGGACCAATAAAAATGATGAAGATGATGACATTAACAATGCTGATATTATAAGATTAAAAACCATGCAATAAGAACAACAAAATATAAAAACCAAAAAATTACCTTGCCAAATGATCCCTGTCCAAGAACCTTAAGTAACTCAAACTGTGCGGGGTCTCCCTTCTCCCCATCTTTGGTAACGTTTGTTATGTTCACTTCTCTCATTTCTTCATCCTGAACACAAAAAGGAGAAAATTAAAAAATAAGATTAATTATTTAATTAAATACAACAGTACTACAGTACCAAAAAAGATTTTTTTTTTTCAAACTATAGTACATGAATATAACATATTTTTTTCCAACAACAGAAGAAAAAATTTGTATGATTATCAAAAAAAACACATTTCCCTATAATTTTTTCATAAAAATTTCATTAGTTTTATCCTTGCTTCCTGAAAAAATTCAGAGGAAAAATGCTCTTTCAAGCATCCATAAATAAATTATTTTCTGGAGAGCATTTTTTAAGATCTCCTTGCTCAGTGTCCAGATGTTTAACTTAATCCCCCTAAATAGCCAAACTGGTGACAAAAAAACAAATTTTTAAATGATAATGTGAAATGAGTGTTACGTTTGAAATTTATATAATCAGATTTTAATTTAAATATTATATAGTTCTGTAGAATATGTATATTGTATAGAAATAAAAATATTACAAAATTTAGCAATACTGTAATTGTAATCATGTCAAATCCTGTAAAAATCTGAATCGCGTATTAAGTATTCCTGTATTATTAGTACAGTAGTACTAGTTAGTAGTTCATCCTTTGAATGACCAGGATCACGAATCTTGTATTAGTAATCAGTATCATTATTACCTACTGTATTTATGTGATGTATTGTCTATTTGTGCAATGGTTACAGAAGAGGTGTCAAGAGGTTATCATTGATTACAACATTGCTGATTTAATATTCAAAGAATATTCATTATAAATTATCGTTTAATATGGTACAAGCAAGGAGATATTATTTTACAAATGATATGAAGGTAGTGGTGGGGACGATGATGATGATGTGACGATGACGATGATAATGATGAGGATAATAATGTTGAGGAGGAGGAAGACAATAGTGATGATAAGGATGATAATGACCATCATTGCTAAATTAAGCAAAACATTTCACTCACTCAAAACATTTCACTTGCAAATTGCATGTACACTTTTAAACCATTTGAAATTCTGTCATTTAAATACTTACGAACATTTAGAAATAATATTGCATAATCAATACAGTATGGATTGCATAAACTTTTAAAATTTAAATCCTCAAAATATGAATATTTTACGAGTCTCAATTTTTCTGCTATGTATTTTAGGATCGAGTATTTTCATTTGTCACTCGGACTAAATCCTCAATCCTATTCTTTTTTTTTTTTTTGGCACTTCAATGTTTTTCTTCAATTAGTAGGCGAGTAGGGGATTACTGTATCTCCCAGTGTACTGCCCAATAACCACCAGATTGACCCAATGGGAATAAGGCTTATGGACTTTCATGGGTTATCCATGAATGTTCACACAAAAATTTAAATTTTTCTTTTCCCATGATTGCACTTCTTGAATAGTGTATCTACTGCAAATACAGGTAATTGCTTATATTTCTATATTTTGACCTGTGCGCAGTTAAATAAAATTTTGTGTTACTGATTATTTGAACTACTTGATCTTTACAAATCTTACACCTGTCTCTTATACACCTCATTAAAACATGAAAATATTTTTACCTGGACTTAGATATATTTATCATGTAAAGCATGTAGTCTTTTATCTTTGTCATGTATTATATATTTGATGGTACCCCGTAAATACTTTGCTAATATACTGTAACATGAAAGAAAACGATTTGTAACATTCATATTTCATTCTGTAAAACTCAAATTATTTCAAAAGTCTCATATTTTCTTTCTCAAAATGATGCTTTTACATTTTCAAAAATCATACCAATTTGAGCTTTTTTTTCAAATATTCCACAAGTAGTTTATTCAGTAGACTCCAGCTAAGATGATTGTTCCTAATTCAATACCAAATACCACTACAACATACAATGACTTCGAATAAAAAAAAAACACATTATTATTTGATTCTATTGTTAATTGATCATTAGACTGGCCTTCAAATAAGAACTTTAAGATTTCAGTTTAATGTGAGTGTATTTGAATGACAGTATTAAAGTTGATACCCGAAGATCCAGTTCTTTTGTCCACACTTTGGATTCTTTCTTCTACCATTCTTCTTCAGCCTTCATACAGTATCCTTGAATACTTTACAAACAGGTTATAAAAACAAAACAGAACGATATCCACCAAATGTTGTTAATTCGGGGGGGTTTGTTTGAGAAGCAAACACATTCGATCTGTTAACTTCTTTGTGGAGGCTTTTTTTGTTGGGGATGCGGGCAGCTAAAAAAACTTAAGTCATGAGGCATACCCAGTAATTTGTTCCAAAACCTGTCATCATTGTAGACACATGCACTTTCTATCAGTACCTCTAATATTCACAAACTGTATGGAAATTCTTTCAAAAATCTGATGCATATGATGGGTTAGAGGGTTCGCATTAATGAATTTGTAAGCATGTGGATAATACTGTTGATACTTATTCACAAGAATTATTATTCTGCAACACCTAGACATACCTGTACAAACATACGACATGCATTCAAGAGTAGAGTAATATTTTTTTGTGTGCAATGACTGAAAGCAGGAACTGATGGTTTGTTGGAAAAAAACAAAAAAAACAAAAAATATACAAGTCATCTACCAGCAGCTAACCCCATCTGTCAGACCTGGAATTATGGCCATCTGTTAGTCCAAGAATCACTACTTGCCTAATTTGAAGTATATTAAATTTTTATGTTGTATTTTGCAATTCTAATGTTTGAATTTTAAATACCATTTTGATGTAAAGGCACTGTCACTATGTAAACCTATTATTATATTATATTTTATAATTATTATCATGATTTAAAATTTATTGGTGAAACTTGCATCGGCTTATTTTAAGCAAATAGAGTAGTCTTGGATTATATTTACTTTCAATTCTGAATAATTTAAATTTGTGTTTGACAAGAAAAAATATGACATTATAATTTGCATCTATGCTGACCAGTCTCTTAACGATCTATAAATTGATGGTAATTTGAAACGTTAATAGTTGTTCAATTATTAACAAATTATTAAACTGACATTACTTCCTCTTGTATTACTTTTAGAATGATACTGTACAAGCCTCTGGATAATTTCCTTAAAAGAAAACGCAAGAATGATCTTTAAACTTCCAATACATTTTTGCTGATTCACCGACCTAGGGACTATGTAAAGAATATAATCCATACAGAATATTTATGTTACGTTAATTGGCAAGGAAATTATTTTTTCAATCTAATCAAAAAATTTTCAATTGAAAGCTAGGCTCCGGAGGAAAACAAATTTTTGATATGTTGTGCTAATTTTTTTAAGACACAAAAACCATATTTGATGAAAAACTTGGGAGCAGCTAATGAGATAAACATTTTTGAATAATTAAAAACAGGGGGAAAAATGGGCGTAACCAGCTCCTTTTCAACTTTTCCCCCAAAAGTATCTCATTAATTCTCATTATCTCATTAGTTTTTCGTAAAATATTATCGTTTTGTGTCTTGGAAAATCAGTTGGATTCATATCAACATTTTGGTTCACTCCAAAGCCTGGCTTAAGGTAATTTTTACATAATACAAATAAATCAAATTGTTAAGATTTTGTTTTTCTTTTTTAAATACAGATTTAGCATTCCAAATATTTTATTCTTTAAATTTTATTTATACTATAGCTTAATCTAATGAAAATTTTCAATTCAAAGTTACAGTTATACTTTTTATATAATACAAATAAATCAAATTCTTAATAAGAATTTTTCTTTTGTTTAAATACAGACTTTAATAGCATTCCAAATATTTTATTATATTCTTTAAATCTTATTTATACCATAGCTCAATTTAATAAAATTTTCAATTCAAAGCTACAGTAATACTTTTTATATAATATTAATAAATCAAATTCTTAATAAGAATTTTTCTTTTGTTTAAATACAGACTTTAATAGCATTCCAAATATTTTATTATTTTCTTTAAATCTTATTTATACCATAGCTCAATTTAATAAAATTTTCAATTCAAAGCTACAGTAATACTTTTTATATAATATTAATAAATCAAATTCCTAATAAGAAAAACAAAAATGACCATACTTAAAAGTGACAGCCTTCAATTTTAGTAATGAGAATGACCTGTGACCATCTCCAAGCACACGGCAATCTTAGGAATGGGAATAATGATTATGAAAGCAACCATCTAAATGTTAGTCTTAGGAAGGAGAAAGACCATATTTAATATAACCACCTCCATCCAAGCATATAGTAATTAGTCTTTCTAAGCAAAAATAAATATAAAATACTTAGGTAACTGTCTCCAAGTATAATTAAATGAGAATGGTCATAGCTAATGTGACTATCTCAAAGCATATAGTACAATATTCTTTACAGGAATGAGAATAATTATGCTTAGCGACTGCCTTCAAGCTTAAGTTTTAGTAATGAGATTGACGGCATCTCCAAGCATACGTTCAGATGGGAAAAATTATCATGAATGAGACTATCATCTAAGAATAAGTCTTATGAATGAGAATGACCATACAGTACTTAAAACAACCATCTCCAACAAAGCGTACAGTAGTCTTCCAAGTAAAAATAATCATGGTGGTGTCATTGGAAAGAGGATGGCCATACTTAATATCACATTCTCCAAGCATACAGTACAATATTACAACAGGAATCACAATAATTACTTCTTCAAGCTTAAAGTTAATAATGAGAATGACCCGCGAAGATCTCCAAACATCCGGTAGTCTTAGGGTGGGAATAATAATAATGAATGAGACTAGTGTCTAAGTATAAATCTATGGAATGAGAAAGACCGTACTTAATGTAACCATGTCCATCAAAATCATAGCAACTGCCTCCGTATAAGTCACTGGAACGAGGATGATCATAGATATTATGTGACAATCTCCGAGCACACAGTACAATCCACACAGGAATTAGAATGACCATACTTAAAGCAGATATGTTCAAGCTTAAGTTTTATACTGAGAATGACCCATGACCATAGGATGGAAAAAAATGATAATGCAAGTCTTAGGAATA